GATGAGTGAGGAATGGAGATCACAACCAAGAAAGAATTTCTTTATCTAACATCTATGCAAAATTTATTGCAAATTCTCAACACTGTGAAATTAATTTCTAACAAAGATCTTGATAAGAAACATTAACTGTTGAACTTGTTTGATTTAAATGACAATTTGATTTAAAGTATCATTAATCCTTGCACAAACAAGCCATTATATCTAAAGGAAAATCACTTCAAACAACACTATAATTATACATTTCCCACTTCAAAAATTTGCTAATATATTCAAGCAAAAGTAGCAGCAAGACAAGGATAAAACTTTTTCTATCAAATTGAATTACCGTATTAATAACTCAAAAAATTTGACAGCTATTTTCCCTTAATGATCAAAAACAATGATTTGTGATACTTGTTTTGGTTATTTTTTTAATTAGAAGAATTTTTGTATTTAGAAATACAAAATGCACTGCAATACTATGAATTAAAGCTCGGTTTCCATTTTTACAAAAGCACACCCACTCCCTAAAACCAGCACTGGCAAAAGCAGTAACAAGCACTAAAAAATATTGTCTATGTCTCAAAAGCTCGAGTGCTAACCTTAAGGGTGGGGACATGTCTCAGTTTGCAATGGCTTTTCTTCTTTTAGAGTAATTTAAGTATGAAAAAAAAAAAAAAAACTTTTTTTACTAAAGCAAAGGTGTTCAAATAATTAAAGCTCACTATCACTCATCTTAATTTGCATTTGACCATTAATTTGCATATATTTCTTTCTTGTATAAAAAAGTTCATTCAGTCTGTGGACTTGTTAACATCTCCCTCCACAATGAGAAATTTTCTCTTGGAATCCAAGCATTTTTGATTCAAGGAGAGCCTTATTTGAGGCCACTTCTTGTTCATTTGGGCATCGCCAAATTTATGTTTTATAGCTCCTATGGGAAGGAAAAAAAAAATTATATGTATATATATCACACACATATAATAGAGAAAACAGAAATCGTCTTATTTTCTACCAGTCCATATTTATTGCCTTCCTGCTCATGGCTTGATTAACAGAAACTCTAACACATCTTCAGTGCTTTCCAAACTTTCCAAGTACTTCATGATTCTCAGTGACTGCATGCTAATGCAGAAACCAGTTGTTAATTTATGGCCCTAGGTACTGTCCAAATAAATGTGACTGGCTACTCAAAGCTTAAAGGATAACAAGTGTTAATTTGTTTCCTTCTAGAGCCAGCTTCTTTTTAATGACAGCCTTGGCAATATTACTTTGTGTGCAAGAGAAATGAATAACCCTGATTCAATCGTGAAACAAGAATTTTCTAAGTACATATAACAACAGCAACAAAGCTGATTGTTGAAATCTCTGTTTTTGTTTTGTTTCTTGGTATGCTTTTCTTTGAAAAAACTAACTAGTACACAATAAAACAAATTACATTGGCTTACTTTTTAGTAGATCAACTCTGTAAGGGTCCAACTCCACCTTGCCAGCAGCCTTCCCTCTGGCAGGCTCTACGATGCCATTTGCCATCTCCTCAAGTGAGAAGAGATTGGCAAAAACCTTGAGAGCATATTTTTTTAAATCCCCACCAGAGGGGAGTAATAGGAGGTTGGTTTCATTGTACATCTAAAATGAAATATAACATATTTAGAGACAAGTATCTAGATTGGAAAAAATAACCATCTGTCTTTAAAAAAAGTATCATCATCTATTGTCTGCAATAAAATTGTTGCTCTTAATAATTGCGACTTAAATTCCAGCTTGCAGTAGCCTGACTAGTGAATGGTACTTACTAAGGAAGGTAAAGGTAGAGGGGAGGAGCTTCTCAATTGTTCTCCTTGATCACCATCATGCCTCATCTGTATGTACAGAAAAGGAGGTATTGACTATCTTTAACAAGAATTTACTTATTTATTATCTTTAAGAGCAAAGTTCTTATGCAAAGGTTACCATTTATGAAAATTGGCAATTTTCACTGCCCAACTTCAAACAAACTTTGTTCACCTTTTACACCATTGAAACAACTATTCAAAATTTCCACAAAAAGTTGATAAATGAAAAATTACCTTTTTACTATCAGGAGGAGTTGCCACCCTTCTATCCCATTCTGTGCTTGTGACATTTAGATGGGACTCAATGAAGTCTACTTTATTCAAGATACAATCAATTTTTCTGGTGATCATATCCTTCCAGTTGTCCTGTGAATATGAATAGAAAAAAATATTTACATTTGTAAAGCAATCCTTCAACTAAATAAATTGTCATTAACCTTAAAAAGAACCAAAAATTTGTGAGAAAGGAAAGTAAGGAATCATAATTCAGCACTAAATGAAAACCAGAAAAAACACACACATTTGCAAAACAGAACCAAACAAAACACAAAAAATGTTGCATGGAATTGATACAGGTGTCGAACGTGTTTATGTGGAATTAACAGGATAACAGAGCCAAAATTTTACCTTAAGCCATTTAAGTTGCTGGTTCTTTCTTAGATGGGGAGTTCAAATGCACTTTAATTCTCCAACATTGAATATTTAAAGTCACAATACTTACATCATCAGAAGAACTTCCCCCTCTTTTGGCAATTTTGTTGGCTTTAGGAAAATTCCTACCACTGGGGACATGGTGATGATAATCAGACCCAGTTTGGCTTTCATCATCGCCATCATCATCACTGGAAACCTATAAGTAGAATATTGCAATTTAACAGGTTATAATTTATTACACAATTTAAAGCACCAATGAAAATATGGCCTATTATCTATTATCAGGCATCATATTTGGTACTTGATATAGAAAATGTGTTAAAATGGCAATGATTGTTCGAAAATGTTACGGTTAGTTTCTTGCTTCAAAGAAAGTGTGATTAATATGAGCATGTAATAGAGGAAAGCACTTACCTCCTGATTTTCAAAAACAGATGAACCCAATTTTTCCAACTTCTTCATTTCGTTGCTGATGTCCCAATCTAAGAGTAAAAAAAAATTAAAACTCTATAGCAAGTTACCTCAACAACAGACTCAGTGTGTGTTGTGGTTCCATTTCATTTGGTTTAAAAAATAGTAAACCATTTTAAGTTTGATAATTTCGCTTTTTCTACAGAACGTTATCAGTAAAACGTTTGGAACAATAACCTTTAGAACAATAACCTTTAGACCCCAGGTGACTACTGTGATCAGTATATTCCACTAAGGTATAGAACAGAAAATTAACTCAATTCTAGGAAAAAATATTCTAACCTATTGCATCCTTTTTTTGTTTTGGTGACTGGGACACTCTTGCTTGCTCTGGGGATAATGTACCTTCCAGGGCCTCCATCCTCTTTTGGCATTCCTCCTTATTTCCTTAAAAGGAGAGAATACCAGCCAATAAAATGTGTCATGTCCCTATTTGAATATTCACTGAAAGAAGGGGAAAGTAGTTACCTGGGGTATTTCTCAGGTTTGCTGAAAATAGCAATCACCATTTGCTCAATGTTTTGTATGTTTCTTTGTTTATAAAACCTTTCTGATATCACTGACCTGTTCAGCAATGTAAGTCTTTCTCCATGTTGTCTCAAATCGGTTATTATCTTAGTTAATGGGACTTCTGCCATAAAATAAACAACCCTTACAATTGCCAATGAGTTCAGGTCCATATAATTTGAAACATGTTAGAAAAAGTCCAATATCAGGGTGTTTTTCCTGAGTGATTGAGGGAAAGAGGAGGCTTGGCTGGGAGTTACCCCAAACCATATGTTATCATTGTTTACAGTGTCACTGCTCTCTCCCAAATAAACATTTATGGAGAAAATTAATTACAAAAAAGAAAAACAACAACAAAATATTGGATCACATCTATTTGCTCCTGGCCAAAGCATACATAAACAATACCTACAACTTACCGATAAACATAAGCGTTGCAAAATACTTCTTACCACTGATTTTCACAGACACTGTGCTCATTTTTTTAGCTTCCCGATCTATTGTTTTCCGCTCAACTAAACTATACTTAAGGTCTTCCATAAAGAATAAGACACAGTGATCTTTGTCCTCAAAATCTGAAATAAAACAAAAATTGCTAATAAATAAATTTCAGGGAATAAACGGATCACATAATCGATTTCCCGTTAGTGTTATTGTACCCTTTTAGTTACTTTTAGCGGCAAGGTTATTAGTAACGAAAGCCCAAGACAAATATTTATTTATTGCAAACCATTTCATGCGAGACGACTGGAAGCTACGATGTTTCTGCCTACAACATTTAAATACAGAACAATCTCCCTTTTAAAACTGCCTTGAGAAAACTGCTACAAGTTTAGCGAGGTTAGCGCGCCGTTACGTCGTTTGGATGACAATAGCGTTACATCTCGTGTCAGTTTCTACTCGATTCTAAACAAAAACGCTTGTAAACAAAATAGAACTCTAGAACGATTTTATGATTTGTCCTACATTAAAAAAAACATGGCCTTGTAATTACATCAACTCATCGTCATTTTTTCCGTTCATGTGGAAAGAATCGAAAAAAGTGCGAGATTAAGTCTATCGCATCGCCTTCCAGATGTGTAAAGTTGATCACATCAACATAATGCGGTATTCCATAATGCACAAGAGTCAGTACCACTTACCTTCGGGATGATTTTCCTTCATTTGCTTGAGTTGCAGTCGTGCACTAGTTGGCTTTTTAGACATTTTAACAAGACACTCGGACTACCAAGACCAATGTGTTCCTTGAGGTAGAAGCGAGTGCTCAAATAAAGTGCCGTGGACAATCATGCGTGTATTTTACATGCTTAACAGATGTAAACTATTCACCTGAATTGCGAAGCCACTTCACGTGATACAATTCAACAAGGGTATCGCAACGTTAATTGTGTAATCGTAACGTTCTTTCATAATAAAAGCAAAACGCGACTTACCTTCTCTGGCCTGCTATAAACTCTTGTTACTTACCGACTGTGTCGTTTTCTATATTCAAGCGGCAATAACATTTGTTATTTTGTAAAGAACAATAAAGTCCTAATTCTCGAAATCGTTATT